CATTTAGGAATGAAGCTAACCATGAGTTTTAGCTGGGACAGTGTTGTTTTTTGGGACATTTTCAGTCAAGTTAACTTTCGAACAGCTGGGATTAGAACTGCAAGGGTAGTTCGATTTCTTGGTGACAGAGGGCATCTGTACTTTGTTAGAAGGTTTACAGTCCACTGGCTTATCAAGATCTACATCGTGGTTTACTTGTTTATTTACTTTCATGACATTGAGGGTTATTTTCTGTAGATTGTCTGCTATCTCACTGTTATGTGATCTAGTCGCCTCTCTTGTTTTTACACGACGTTGACAAGGCGTTAAATCCGGGGTAACCTTTACTTCTTTGTATAAGGTTGATGAGCTAATATTTTTGCTCAAACGGATAAACTGTTTGGCGTCGTTGCAGCAGCCGAATTTGAAAAGGAGAGGGCAAGTTGATTTGTCCGATTTTTTTCTGAGGCGAGTGACGTGACAGCTGACGTTTGTCATATCACACGCTTTCAGACAGGTATCCTTTAGCGAATTCAAGGATGTGTGGTCCGGGAGGTTATAAGCTATCGCATTGCAGGAAGACATTATTCTTTTCGTAAGTTCCTCAGCTACAAAGCCTAGGATATATTCCGCTTTGGCTAATTCTTCTAGGTTCCTATCATTATTCGGGGCCCATGGGTGCATGAGGGGTGCTAACAGGTTAAGCTTATCGTTAATTTGGGCAAGTGAGTTTTGTAACTGTCGTAACTCGCTGCCATGGTTATTACTACTATTAACGGTTTCGGATGGAGCATTCAACTCCTAGCTTTGTGAATTTCCTGATTTAGGCTTTACAAGATTATGGTGAAGTTTTTTCTGTGTAGAAGTTTTCGCCATATTTGGGTATAGTATCTCCTATATCTACGAGTTTTACTATTGGAATACTTAGTGAAGGTTCATCTGACATAGGGTTTTCAGATTTTGATCTTTTAAGTGGTTTAGAAGTTGGAGACATTTCTCTTTTACTCGAATTATTTGTCATAATGGAAAATTGGGTGGGATAATTGCTTGTCTAAGTAACTCAAATATCTAAGGGTATAATTTATTGTGTATTAACTGTGTTAATACGAAAAATCAGTGGCGGATTTTAAAGATAAGAGGTTCAGTTATGAAGTGCAAGAGTCACTATAAGTAGGCTTGAACTAGTGTATTCAGAAGTTAAAATCGTTATCAAACGACAAGTATGTATTAACTGATTAAAAACTTAGAAGGTTTGCTTTCAAGAAGCAAAGTGCACCGGGTACAATAGATGAATTCTACTAAATCAGTGTAATACCCTACGAATGATAAATTTCAGAAAAACACTATACCACGTGAAAAAAAGGTACCACTTCATTGTCTACGAGAAAGCATTCGATAGCGTGGATAGGAAAACAGTGTGGAGGCTTGTTCGACACTACGGTGTGCCTGAGAAAATAGTTCGCATCATACGGAATTCTTATGATGGATTTAACTGCAAAATCGTACATGAACGACAGCTAACAGACTCTTTCGAGGTGAAAACCGGTGTTAGGCAAGGTTGCTTACTCTCACCCTTTCTCTTTCTCCTGGTCATCGACTGGATTATGAAGACGTCGACGTCTGGAGGGAAGCACGGTATCAACTGGACAGTTAGGACGCAGCTGGACGATCTGGACTTTGCAGATGACTTGGCTCTTCTATCTTAAACGCAACAACAAATGCAAGAGAAGACGAACAGTGTTGCAGCAGCCTCTGCAGCAGTAGGTCTCAACATACATAAATGAAAAAGCAAAATTCTCCGATGCAACACAACATGCTCCAACCAAATCACTCTTGATGGAGATGCCTTGGAGGACGTTACCACCTTTGCATATCTGGGCAGCATCATCGACAACGAAGGTGGATCCGATGCAGATGTGAGGGCACGGATTGGCAAAGCAAGGGCTGCATTTCTACAGCTGAAAAATATCTGGAACTCCAAACAACTTTCAACTGAAACCAAAATCACGATTTTCAATACAAATGTCAAGACAGTTCTACTGTATGGAGCGGAAACTTGGCAAACTACGAAAGCCATCATCCAGAAGATACAAGTATTTATTAACAGTTGTCTACGCAAAATACTCCGGATTCGTTGGCCAGACACCATCAGCAACAACGAACTGTGGGAGAGAACAAACCAGATTCCAGTGGAGGAGGAAATCAGGAAGAAGCGGTGGAAGTGGATAGGACACACACTACGAAAAGCACCTAACTGCGTCACGAGACAAGCCCTCACATGGAACCCTTAAGGCAAAAGGAAAAGAGGAAGGCCAAAGAACACATTACGCCGACAAATAGAGAAAGATTTGAGTGGAATGAACAAACATTGGACAGAACTGGAGAGAGAAGCCCAGGACAGAGTTGGTTGGAGAAAACTGGTGGGCGGCCTATGCTCCATTGGGGGTAACAGGCCTAAGTCAGTAAGTAAGTATTATTATTATTCAATGCCAACCTCTATAAGCGCCTGAGTAAGCATGTTGCTGGTGTCTCCAAAGAATAGCCACCACAGCATAGTTTTGGAAACGTGGACCTCAGCGTATAAGAGCAACCTAAGTGTTACTTATTAGTTGCCACATCGATCAACCAAATCATGAAGCAACATTTTGAATTTCGAAGGGGAAAGCCGCATCCTGAACATGTTTGCATGTCTTTGACAGAATTAAACAAGAATGGAAAGAATGGACATCCATGATGGACACCACTTGAAGTAAAGAAATTCGGTGACAGTTCGCCGTAAGCTCTCACTTGACCTGTAGTGTTCGAGTAAGGAGTTTGTATAAGGTCAATGTACTTCTTTCGTACACCGTACAATGACAAGCAATGTCACAGCACCTCACAATCAACGGAGTCAAATGCCGCCTTTAGGTTCGGGAAGATAACTGTTGTCGAAAGCCTAAGTGTGTGTCTGTGTTCCATGACCTGTCGTAGTGTGAAGATGTGGTCTATGCAGTCACGTCCAGATCTGAAACCAGACTGGTTGGGACAATCAGGGAAACCGAAGTGTGGCTGAAGGCCAGTTGATCTGATCCCTGAAGTGTTCCTCACATCGATCCAGTCTCCTGTATTGAGAATGAATAATAAGAATATCTCTTACAGAGATAGTCTAACTCTCATTCGGGTTCCCAATACCGATTTCTTTGATAAGGCGGAAAAGTTGTCTCCTGTTGCCCATCATTGATGCCTTTCCTATCGCTACCCATCGCTGTTCGCGGTCGTTGTGTAGGCTTTTAATCAGTCTGCACCTAAGATGATTTCGCTCTTCGTCATGTTCAGAGTCAGTTAGAATGCGTTTTCCAGTATCCATCAATTAGGTGGATGCGACTGAAATCCATGGCTTCATCCTAGCATTCTGGTTTAACTTACTAACAGATATCACTGCCGTTTCTACAGCCTGTTTGATATCATTCTCACCTGCCTCGGGATTAGAATCACTTGCACGGTCGCATAATTGTTTTTCTAGTTCCTCCTGAAATGCTTTCTTAGCTTTATTATCAACAGGTGGAGCCTTTGGAGGTTTCCTTGCGATATTTCTTCTGGCGTCCAGTATGCCTCAAACAAATGTGCACGCACTACAAGGATTCAGTGTAGGAGAGATAGTTCAGCCCTTCGACTCAATGCTATACCTATACCAGTGAGACCCCAGGAAGCAGCATCAGAACTGCCAGGTACACGAAGAGTAAATCGAACAGCTTTTTTATTTTGACAAGCTGAAATCAAGTCAGTGAATTAACTTCGATCCTTATGCGCGTTTTCAAGACGCAGTACACATCGATGACTGGAGATTCTTAAGTCCCAACCAGGGAGGCCTGTTGCCCTATTTGACACAATGTTCCGACGTTAAATGCAACAACATGTAGTTTAGAACGGTGCTTAAGTAGATCACAAATATCTTCTACTTCGCATTAGTGACACTAGGTGATAAAGTAATGTGAGTAGAGTTGGTCGTGGAGATAAGAGAGTTATTAAGGTGTGTAAGGAGGATTTGATTTTGACCGATTTGGTCTCGAGTGTTGATACGGGGATGAAGGCGGTTGTTTAGACAACCACTACTAAATAACGCCACTCGATTGGTAAAACCAAAAGAACAATGCGAAGTGTTGAAGACTTTTATTTGGTGCAGCACAAATAGACCACTAAACCATCAGCACACAAATGTAGGCTACCTGGTTGGAATGCGCAAAATTTAAGACTCCAATGGTTAGGGACCTTGAACGACATGGCTCAAAATCGCTTGCAATGGTGCAAGTGCACTTAGTGTTCTCTCAAAATCTAACCTTCACAGTTACTCATCATCTCTACATTTATATCACTGAATTATACTTCTCAAGTCATAACTTCGCATCCTAATCTTTTCCACTACTGCTAATACTTCTGTTATCAATACCACTATGTTGTTTGAACAAACAGTTGCGTCTCTGTGCTAATGCGGTATGGCAACCTGAACTGATGTACGTACGTACGAAGTTCTGCGTTGTATCCCTGTCTGTCTATACTAACAAACTAGTTGTTCCGTAATCACATGCTCACATGTCATAAACATTTTCTGTTTCTTATAGGGTTCAGTTAATATCAGATCAACTTCGGCTGCCTTTTGTAAGCACATGTATCCATAGGAAATCTATTCAGATTTGCTACCATTATGCTTCAGTGAGTTACTGCAGTTGAATAACACCACATTTATCAGCACACAAATACTTTCCGACACCAAAATAAGAGATTCTAGTAGACCTTTAAGTCAAATCAGATATTCTAAAGATTTATCAAATGTTTTTGATCGAAATGATATTTTATTAATCGTTTAATTCGTCTCTGTGATAGTAGGTCACCTGTTAGTATTCTAGTTAATTGAATTTCAATTAACCCAATATTAATCTTTGATCCACTACCAGTCCGGAAGTTGACTTATTTCACTTATTCATCCATAACGAAGAAAACCGAAATTGTAGAAACAATAACTAATTCAGTGTACCTGCGTTGTCTAGGGGACAACTCTATGGGACAATAAGTTCATAAGACTCTCCAGCTGGATCCCGATCAAAAATGGATGGACTGGATTGTTTTAGAACATTCAATAACTACAAACCTCACTGCTCTCAACATTAGTGGATAAAAACAGAGTGCAGAATTCTTTCAAAACTTTTTCACCACTTTCAGCAGTCACTTTTCATGTGGTCTCATGAAATATATATATAATATATATATTTATGACTTCATAGAGTATGAAACAGATAACATCAAATAAACATCTTTATACACTTAATCTCTTCTAATAATCATATTCGGGTAAATAATTAATACAACCCGAAGTTCAATCACTTCTCTAACCTAGTAAGTTCTTCAAGTCATAAATTAGTATAGATATCAAATAAGTCTATTATCATATGAACAGTTTGTCAGTTTGAACGAACTATATATATAAATATAAACAAGTTGAACAACCAACAACAAATTAAACAAAAATAACGAACAAGAACTAGAAATATATATGCAGTTAGATCCGTTATATTCGAGGAAATGTTAAGGCACGTAAACAAACTTCGCAACTGCAGAAAGAAAGAAACAGAAAATAATGTTCTTTTTCAAGTTTCTGTTGTCATAAAATATCACATGTAAAAAACAGTTCACTGTTTTAACAAATCTTATGGAAACGAAATAATTGTATTGAAAAAATAAACTACATTCAACGAAGTGACACCATCAATCACATCACATTTAATTAATATACAACATCCTGACTTCATAACATCATATCAAATTATCAATGAAAGTGATCGAACAATAATGCTACTGAATGAAACAAGTAACTGAGTTGAATCATTTGCAAAATGGATAGTAAAATTTCAATATAGACAAAAAGAAAGTAACTCACAAGTCATGCACAGTAAGAATAAACCAGCCACCAGCACGACCGAAAAATGCGCCATACTGAAGGCACAGAATAAAAAAACATTAGATAAAAGATTATTAATGACCAGAGAACAAAAACTAAGTTGTTGTTTTCATATGGCCACAATATTGAACTCCTTAGGGAAGTAAAATAAATTACCACAATAAAACCAATGACACGATACACAATCAAACATAACAATGACATATCCAATCACCAGTGCATCTTTTGTTGGACATTCTGTCACTATTTTGTGTCGTTTGATTTTCAACGTTTTGCTGTATCTACTTGAACCAGCTCACTAGCCTACTCCATTCCACTACATTCATGCAATCACGAATTTATGAATTCACTCGCAATTTACACAATTTACAGACGTTTATCACGCTGATGTTTACTAAGTACAACTTTAAAACGAATATTCACTGCAATCAATATGCAGTTACACTGGTGGTAAACATTTAAGGCCACATTTAACATCACGACTATCTCCACTAGATTCACATCTATTCTACACAAACAAGCATTATTAAAATGGATACTTACATTTCTGGAGAGGTCCTCAATCATTTGTTCAATAAGTAACAATCTTCGGTCAATCTGCAATAGATACAGCAATAGAAAGAAAGTTATTTCTTGTTACATAGTTGCCAAATAACACAACCAAAATCAATCGATTACCATATTCACAACAAGTCAGTCGGTTGCAACGTAGAACTTCGTACGTATGTACATAAGTTCAGGTTGCCATACCACATTGGCACAGAGAGGCAAATGTCAAATCAAATTCAATAGTGATAGAGATAGCAGAGGTATTTATGGTAAATGGGAAGACTAGGGTTTGAAGATATTATTCAAGTATAATTCAGTGAGATAATGTTAGCAAGACAAATGTAGAGGTGCTAATGAATCCAGAAGATTAGGATTTGAGAGAACACAACGAATGGATGCACTTGCACCATTGCTAACGATTCTAAGCCATGTCGTTCAACGTTTATTACCGTTGGTGACTTTCGTTTCGCTGACCCCCAACCAAGTAGCCTACATCTACCAACATGACTCGGTTCACTTGTCAGTGACTTCATGGATTTCTGCCATGTTTTGTTCTGGTCGCCCCTAACTTTCTTCCAACGTATTCCTACACCACAAAACATAGCCCGTCGAGGCTGTCGGTAGTTTGGCATTCGCAACACATGTCCCAACCACCTCAACTGATGGTGTTTCATTACTTCATCTATTTATTTGCCATCCTTAACTAGTACTCGTTTCCTAACAACAACATTGCTTACTCGGTTGTACCACGATACACGAGCAATGCTTCTAAGACATCTATGATCGAATACCAGTAACCTACGAATATCTTCTACTCTAAACGGTCATGTTTCGCATCAATATATCAGAACGAAGCGAACTGCTACTCAGTACAACCGTCCTTTGGTTGAAGAACGGATATCTCGCCTACGCCATAAGTGACGCAAGATGGCAAAAGTCATTCGAGCTTTCTGTATCCGTGCTGAGATTTCATCAGTCATCAGCACTGATGAAACTCCCAAGACAAGTGAAGCGGTTAACACGCTCGACTACTTCACTCCCTATCACTAGTTCAGGTGCCGATGCAACCCAATCTTCAAGCAACACTTTGCATTTCGAGGGGTAAAACCGCATCCCGAACATGCTTGCATTGTTGCTTGGGGTAGTCAGAAGACTCTGCATTTTGTCAGCGTCTTCACCGAGTAGAACTATGTCATCGGCATATTCTAAGTCAATAAACAAGCCTTCAAATAGAAGATGTACTCCAGAAAAACCTGACGAGGTTAATGTTAACTATAGGAGTATGTAACGGTGGACCCAACTAGATCACGCTGCCATCAGCCACTGATGGGGGGAGGTTCAGTAGAGGACTGTCGCACGTTCTAGGACACATGTTTAGATTCAGATCATGTCCTAGTGCGAGCGCGTATTTGTTTGAAGCATACTGGACGTAGGAAACACCGTGAGAAAGCCTCCAACGGTTTTACGCAATGATAATAAAGCTACGGATATATTTCAGGAGCAACTAGAAAGGCAGTTAGGCAGCATATAAGCGATTCCAATCCGAAAAGCAGGTTGGAATAATATCGAAAAGGCTGTCAGTCAGTCAGATGCAACGTAGAACTTTGTACGTAAGTACATCAGTTCATGTTGCCATACCACATCAGCACAGAAAAGTAATCGTCAATTCAAATCCAATAGTAGAAGAGGTAGTAAGGGAATTAGAAGTAATCGGAGAGGTTAGGATTAGAAGATACTATTCAAGAAGTATGATTCAGTGAGAAAAGTTTAGAGAGTCGAAACTAGAGGTGTTGAAGAATCCAGAAGATCAGGATTTGAGAGAACACAAAGAATAAATGCACCGGCCCCATTGTGAACGAATTTGAGAGATGTCATTCAAGGTCTCTAACCATCGATTATTATCATCTCGCGGACCCCAACCAGGTAGTCGACAATTACCGACATGGCTCAGTCCACTAGTCAATGACTTCATGGGTTTCTGCCATGTTTTGGTCTGGCCGCCCCTAACTTTCTTCCAACCTACTCCTACACTACAAAACAAAGTTCGTCGAGGCTGTCGCTGGATCGGCATACGCAACACATGTCCCAACCACCCAAACTGATGAAGTTTCACCACTTCATCTATTGATCTGCCATCCTTACCTAGTACTCGTTTCCTAACGACAGCATTGCTCACTCGGTTGTCCCACGGTATACGAGCAATGCTTCGAAGACACCTATGATCGAAAACCAGTAACCTACGAATATCTTCTACTCTCACTGGCCATGTTTCACAGCCATATAGGAGAACGGAACGAACTGCTGCACAGTACACTCGTCCTTTGATTAGAGAACGGATATCACGCATACGCCATAAGTGACGCAGGTTGGCAAAAGCCAATCGAGCTCTCTGTATCCGAGCTGAGATTTCGTCAGTCACCAGGCCATCGGCACTGATGAGACTCCCAAGATAAGTGAAGCGGTCTACACGTTCAAATACTTCACTCCCTATCACTAGTCCAGGTGCCGATGCACCGTGGAAACAGCAGTGATATCTGCTACTAAAGTAAACCATAAGGCTATAATGAAGCCGTGGAACTCCGTACCATCTACCGAACTGATGGATGCTAGAAAACTCACCCCTCCTGGCTCTGAGTGCGATGAGGAGCGGAGTCAGCTTAGGCGCAGGCTAACCAAAAGCCTACGCAATGATCGAGAACAGTGGTGGGTGGCGAAAGCGAGGGAGATGGAAAATGCAGCGGAGATAGGCAACAGTGGGCAACTATTCAGCCTTGTCAGGGAAACTGGTATTAGAAACCCAAATGTGAGTGAGACTATTTCGGAAAAGAATGGTCTTATAATCCATTCTCAATCCAGGTACTGGACCGATGAGCAGAACACTTCAGGGTTCAGTTGAACTAGCTTTCAGTCACCAGCACGGATACAGAAAGCTTGATATGCTTTTGCAAATTTACACAAGTTTATGGTGTAGGCGAGATATTCGTTTGCTAACCAAAGGACGATTGTACTGCGCAACAGTTCTCTCCGTTCTACATTATGGATGCGAAACATGACCGTTAAGAGTAGAAGATGTTCGTAGGTTACTAGTATTCAATCATAGATGTCTTAGAAGCATTGCTCGTGTATCGATGTACAAGCGAGTAAGCAATGTTGTTGTTAGGAAACGAGTACTAGTTAAGGATGGCAAATAAATAGATGAAGTAATGAAACACCATCAGTTGAAGTGGTTGGGACATGTGTTGCGAATGCCAAACTACCGACAGCCTCGACGGGCTATGTTTTGTGGTGTAGGAATACGTTGGAAGAAAGTTAGGGGCGACCAGAACAAAACATGGCAGAAATCCATGAAGTCACTGACAAGTGAACCGAGTCATGTTGGTAGATGTAGGCTACTTGGTTGGGGGTCAGCGAAACGAAAGTCACCAACGGTAATAAACGTTGAACGACATGGCTTAGAATCGTTAGCAATGGTGCAAGTGCATCCATTCGTTGTGTTCTCTCAAATCCTAATCTTCTGGATTCATTAGCACCTCTACATTTGTCTTGCTAACATTATCTCACTGAATTATACTTCTTCAATAATATCTTCAAACCCTAGTCTTCCTCATTACCATTAATACCTCTACTATCTCTATCACTATTGGATTTGATTTGACATTTGCCTCTCTGTGCCAATGTGGTATGGCATCCTGAACTTATGTACATACGTACGAAGTTCTACGTTGCAACTGACTGACTGAGCTTTCAGCCACACTTCGGCTACCCACGATCTCCAGTCACACTGAATAGCTAATTGATGTAAGTCCCCCCAAGTGTTTATGAAGTTGAGAAAGCGATAGGAAATCTGAAGCGACGGCGAGCTGCAGGACTTGATAGACTGACCCCTGAGATATTGAAGAATGGTGGTCCAGTTTTAGCAGCTAGGTTGACTGAGATCTTAGGTAGAATCTGGGAATTGGATGTAATTTCATCCGAGTGGTCTCATTCACTGACTGTCCCGATTTACAAACAAGGACAAAAGTCTTCTTGTGACAATCACAGGGGAATAAGCCTTACGAATATAGTATCTAAAATATTGGCCTCAATAATACTTCGACGCTTAACAAAAACTCGTGAAGAACGGACTAGAGAAAACCAGGCTGGTTTTCGACCTTGACGTGACTGAATAGACCACATTTTCACACTCAGACAGGTCCTGGAACACAGATACACAAATAGGCGTCCTACAATAGTAGTGTTCCTCAACAATTTGGAAGCTATATTAGTAAAACTTATTCCTCTGTGATTATCTGTTATTGGGACATAGATGGAATTAAAGCACGACTACGTTGCTGCGCGCTGATTAGCTAATTTCCTATTCAATCAGCGCCTGATCGAAGCTTGGAGAAGAGGATAGAAAATTCTCGATTTATTTGCTGCATGCTGATTGGTTAAAGCTAATCCAGCCGACCACGTGAATTTTCTTCCAGAAGCTTTCTCATGTAAAAGGCTATAAATACACTAACGTTGTATTTATTCATTGCCTTCTTCCCTTGGCCTTCGCCAACACCTCTGGCTTCTTATTCCTTCCTATTTTGGAATATAATCTTTCCTGTTCAACCGTGTTTTGATCTTTGTGAACTTGTCCAGTGTTTTTGTCTCAGAGAATACGAAGCAATAGGATTTAGCCGGGAATTACCTAAACAACCGTTACAACAGTGGCGACGGAGAAAAAGGAAAAAAAATTCAAGATGCCTATTTCAGATGATCAGCTTAACCGAATACTACAACAACAGCTAGCTTAATTAGATGCACATATGCGGTTGTTGGAGACCCTAACTCAACAGCTCAACATACTATTTTAAATACGTCTTGTGAAGCAGTGGCAAACAGCATACGAGAATTCGTCTATAATCCTGAATGTGGAAATACTTTCCTGACGTGGTTCAAACGTTGGGAAGATACATTTAGAATTGAATTCGGTAAACAAGATGATGCATGGAAGACTCGATTGTTGCTGCGTAAGTTGGGAAGTAATGAGTATGCACGTTACGCTGACCACATACTACCGAAGTTACCTCGAGAGCTCAGTTTCGAGGAGACAGTAATTCAGCTGTCAGAGATTTTCGGCGAATCATCGTCATTGTTTAGTATTAGATATCGGTGTCTAAATCTGGTGAAACAAGAGGATGATGAATATGCGGCCCTTGCTGACATCGTCAACAGAGAATGTGAACGGTTCAAGTTACGCTCGTTGACAGAAGATCAGTTTAAATGCTTAATATTCATCAAAGCTCTTCAGTCACCGCAAGATGCTGAAATCAGAACTAGACTTTTGATTCCAATTGACCAAGACCCGAACGTTACACTCAAAACATTGATAAATGAGTGTAAACGACTACAAAGTATCAGACACAACAACATGTTGATCGAACAGGTAAATCCTACTTTAACCAGCAGTAGTGTCAATGCTCTTACTAGGTTAAAACTACAGAAGCCGAAAACATTTTGCAACACACCAACGACGGCATGTAGGTTATGTGTTTGATTGGCACTACGTACGGTTCTGTCCATTTAAAAAACATAAATGTCAGATGTGCAATAAACGTGGACATAAAGAAGGCCATTGTCAACCAAATCGTACGTCTCAGCCCAAGAAGAAGCACAAACTTACTCGACATGTGGTGAAATTAGCCGAGTCTAAATCACTCTCTCGTAGCTGCTTTCCAAACAGACTATGACGTTCGGAGAAAGTATGTGACTATCCACATGAACGGTGCGTCAGCTCGTTTTCAAATCGACACGGCATCAGATATCACCTTAATGTCTAGAGAAACGTACAACTTGCTGGGAAAACCGCCAATGAAGCAATCTAAGAAAACAGCTAAAAGCGCTTCAGGTGGTGTGTTAAAACTGGTTGGTGAGATACAGTGTGAATTTTCCTTCTACGGAAAAAAATGTACAGGAATATGCTATCTGACAGAACGGCCAAACCTTGATCTTCTTGGTCTAGATATGCTAGAAAAACTGGGAATTATGGATGTACCCATTAACAGTGTCTGCAGCGTATCGTGTTCATCATTGGACACCCCGATACTTGAAAAGAAGACAGGTGAAAGGTTACAAGATAAACGAAAGTGGAAGTCAGCCTCTGTTTCTCAGAATAGCCTTGGCCGCTGTACGAATATGAAGGTTCACCTACCAGTGAAGGCAGATGCCAAACCTGTTTCACGTCTGAGACGCCCTATACCATATGCTGTTCATGAGCCTCAACAAAACTTATCGCTGGGGAAGCAGCCCAATCGACGGTTGTTTGAAGATATGGTTCCTACAAAGCAGGCGGCTCGTAAGAGTACTGAAGGCAACGCACCCAGGAAGCAGTTGGACCCTAGCACCAGATCCTACGAATCTTCTCAAAGGGGATGTGTGAGTGGGACATAGATGGAATTAAAGCACGACTACGTTGCTGCGCGCTGATTAGCTAATTTCCTATTCAATCAGCGCCTGATCGAAGCTTGGAGAAGAGGATAGAAAATTCTCGATTTATTTGCTGCATGCTGATTGGTTAAAGCTAATCCAGCCGACCACGTGAATTTTCTTCCAGAAGCTTTCTCATGTAAAAGGCTATAAATACACTAACGTTGTATTTATTCATTGCCTTCTTCCCTTGGCCTTCGCCAACACCTCTGGCTTCTTATTCCTTCCTATTTTGGAATATAATCTTTCCTGTTCAACCGTGTTTTGATCTCTGGGAACTTGTCTAGCGTATTGTCTCAGAAAATACAAAGCAATAGGATTTAGCCGGGAATCATCTAAACAACCGCTACAACATTATCACAGGGGAATGCTGCCTAACTCCGTTGCTAGTTGCTCCTGAAAATATCCTTAGCTTTACTATTATTGCGTGAAACCCTGGGAGGCTTCCTAACGGTGTTACCTACGTCCAGTATACTTCAAACAAATACGCGCTTGCACTAGGGCACGATCTGACTCTAAACACATGCCTCAGAACGAGCGACAGTCCTCGGTCGGGTCAGCAGTATAGGCATTCACCATTCAACAAAAACAACAATAACTAACTTCGCATCTTAACTACTTAAAACTTGCATTTCAACAAAACCATATCACTGTTTCAAAGCCATTTCATATCTGCTACTTGGCATATACCATTGAAACAAGTAACTGCGTTCAGTTATATGCAAACAGTCAAATACATGAAACTTCACAAATAACACAGTAACATCATCTCAAATTTATTTTGATTTATACTTACCATAGACATGTTTGCTTGATTCAACACCATGACAGACTGGCGCTAGAAAAAATTCAATTGATAAAGCAATAGTTAAGAGAATTAGTGTAAAATACATTTGTAACATTTACGGTAAATTCTTGTCATAGTGTCGCCTAATAAAACTGTGCTGACTGATTTAGTTTGTAGCTCAGATGACTTGTCTCACCTGTATTTTGAACTTGTCAATAATTCGTCGCATTCATTCGTCCATGAGCTTGCCTATCGAACTTATTACATGTCAGCGGTATTTTTGTCTGATCACACAATATAAGTGATGCTTTATCTACTCGAATCGGCTCATTAGCCTTCTCCATTCCACTACATTCATGCAATCACGAATTAATGAATTCGCTCGCCAGTGTGTTTTCCCCAATTCGTGCATTTTTGGTCTGCTGGCCAATTTGTGATACGTCACCAATAAACGTATTCAGTGCCCTCGTGTTGCCTTCCGACTTATAAGCGAGAGGCACCATATAGCGAACATTGTCTCAACGAGTAAATTACGAACACTTAGAAAACGTTAAAAATAAAACGTCACAAAAATAGTGACAGAATGTCCAACAAAACATGCAATCACACAATTTACAGACGTTTATCACGCTGATGTTTACTAAGTACAACTTTAAAACGAATATTCACTGCAATCAATATGCAGTTACACTGGTGGTAAACATTTAAGGCCACATTTACCATCACGACTATCTCCACTAGATTCATATCTCTTCTACACTAACAAGCATTATTAAAATGGATACTTACATTTCTGGAGAGGTCCTCAATCATTTGTTCAATTCGCGACAATCTTTGATCAATCTGCAATAGATACAGCAATAGAAAGAAAGTTATTTCTTGTTACATAGTTGCCAAATAACACAACCAAAATCAATCGATTACCATATTCACAACAAGTCAGTCGGTTGCAACGTAGAACTTCGTACGTATGTACATAAGTTCAGGTTGCCATACCACATTGGCACAGAGAGGCAAATGTCAAATCAAATTCAATAGTGATAGAGATAGTAGAGGTATTTATGGTAAATGGGAAGACTAGGGTTTGAAGATATTATTCAAGAAGTATAATTCAGTGAGATAATGTTAGCAAGACAAATGTAGAGGTGCTAATGAATCCAGAAGATTAGGATTTGAGAGAACACAACGAATGGATGCACTTGCACCATTGCTAACGATTCTAAGCCATGTCGTTCAACGTTTATTACCGTTGGTGACTTTCGTTTCGCTGACCCCCAACCAAGTAGCCTACATCTACCAACATGACTCGGTTCACTTGTCAGTGACTTCATGGATTTCTGCCATGTTTTGTTCTGGTCGCCCCTAACTTTCTTCCAACGTATTCCTACACCACAAAACATAGCCCGTCGAGGCTGTCGGTAGTTTGGCATTCGCAACACATGTCCCAACCACTTCAACTGATGGTGTTTCATTACTTCATCTATTTATTTGCCATCCTTAACTAGTACTCGTTTCCTAACAACAACATTGCTTACTCGGTTGTACCACGATACACGAGCAATGCTTTGGAGTCATCTATGACCGAATACCAGTAACCTACGAATATCTTCTACTCTAAACGGTCATGTTTCGCATCAATATATCAGAACGAAGCGAACTGCTACTCAGTACAACCGTCCTTTGGTTGAAGAACGGATATCTCGCCTACGCCATAAGTGACGCAAGATGGCAAAAGTCATTCGAGCTTTCTGTATCCGTGCTGAGATTTCATCAGTCATCAGCACTGATGAAACTCCCAAGACAAGTGAAGCGGTTAACACGCTCGACTACTTCACTCCCTATCACTAGTTCAGGTGCCGATGCAACCCAATCTTTAAGCAACACTTTGCATTTCGAGGGGTAAAACCGCATCCCGAACATGCTTGCATTGTTGCTTGTGGTAGTCAGAAGACTCTGCATTTTGTCAGCGTCTTCACCGAGTAGAACTATGTCATCGGCATATTCTAAGTCAATAAACAAGCCTTCAAATAGAAGATGTACTCCAGAAAAATCTGACGAGGTTAATGTTAACTATAGGAGTATGTAACGGTGGACCCAACTAGATCACGCTGCCATCAGCCACTGATGGGGGGTTCAGTAGAGGACTGTCGCACGTTCTAGGACACATGTTTAGATTCAGATCATGTCCTAGTGCGAGCGCGTATTTGTTTGAAGCATACTGGACGTAGGAAACACCGTGAGAAAGCCTCCAACGGTTTTACGCAATGATAATAAAGCTAAGGATATATTTCAGGAGCAACTAGAAAGGCAGTTAGGCAGCATATAAGCGATTCCAATCCGAAAAGCAGGTTGGAATAATATCGAAAAGGCTGTCAGTCAGTCAGATGCAACGTAGAACTTTGTACGTAAGTACATCAGTTCATGTTGCCATACCACATCAGCACAGAAAAGTAATCGTCAATTCAAATCCAATAGTAGAAGAGGTAGTAAGGGAATTAGAAGTAATCGGAGAGGTTAGGATTAGAAGATACTATTCAAGAAGTATGATTCAGTGAGAAAAGTTTAGAGAGTCGAAACTAGAGGTGTTGAAGAATCCAGAAGATCAGGATTTGAGAGAACACAAAGAATAAATGCACCGGCCCCATTGTGAACGAATTTGAGAGATGTCATTCAAGGTCTCTAACCATCGATTATTATCATCTCGCGGACCCCAACCAGGTAGTCGACAATTACCGACATGGCTCAGTCCACTAGTCAATGACTTCATGGGTTTCTGCCATGTTTTGGTCTGGCCGCCCCTAACTTTCTTCCAACCTACTCCTACACTACAAAACAAAGTTCGTCGAGGCTGTCGCTGGATCGGCATACGCAACACATGTCCCAACCACCCAAACTGATGAAGTTTCACCACTTCATCTATTGATCTGCCATCCTTACCTAGTACTCGTTTCCTAACGACAGCATTGCTCACTCGGTTGTCCCACGGTATACGAGCAATGCTTCGAAGACACCTATGATCGAAAACCAGTAACCTACGAATATCTTCTACTCTCACTGGCCATGTTTCACAGCCATATAGGAGAACGGAACGAACTGCTGCACAGTACACTCGTCCTTTGATTAGAGAACGGATATCACGCATACGCCATAAGTGACGCAGGTTGGCAAAAGCCAATCGAGCTCTCTGTATCCGAGCTGAGATTTCGTCAGTCACCAGGCCATCGGCACTGATGAGACTCCCAAGATAAGTGAAGCGGTCTACACGTTCAAATACTTCACTCCCTATCACTAGTCCAGGTGCCGATGCACCGTGGAAACAGCAGTGATATCTGCTACTACAGTAAACCATAAGGCTATAATGAAGCCGTGGAACTCCGTACCATCTACCGAACTGATGGATGCTAGAAAACTCACCCCTACTGGCTCTGAGTGCGATGAGGAGCGGAGTCAGCTTGGGCGCAGGCTAACCAAAAGCCTACGCAATGATCGAGAACAGTGGTGGGAGGCGAAAGCGAGGGAGATGGAAAATGCAGCGGAGATAGGCAACAGTAGGCAACTATTCAGCCTTGTCAGGGAAACTGGTATTAGAAACCCAAATTTGAGTGAGACTATTTCGGAAAAGAAAGGTCTTATAATCCATTCTCAATCCAGGTACTGGACCGATGAGCAGAACACTTCAGGGTTCAGTTGAACTAGCTTTCAGTCACCAGCACGGATACAGAAAGCTTGATATGCTTTTGCAAATTTACACAAGTTTATGGTGTAGGCGAGATATTCGTTTGCTAACCAAAGGACGATTGTACTGCGCAACAGTTCTCTCCGTTCTACATTATGGATGCGAAACATGACCGTTAAGAGTAGAAGATGTTCGTAGGTTACTAGTATTCAATCATAGATGTCTTAGAAGCATTGCTCGAATATCGTGGTACAACTGAGTAAGCAATGTTGTTGTTAGGAAACGAGTACTAGTTAAGGATGGCAAATAAATAGATGAAGTAATGAAACACCATCAGTTGAAGTGGTTGGGACATGTGTTGCGAATGCCAAACTACCGACAGCCTCGACGGGCTATGTTTTGTGGTGTAGGAATACGTTGGAAGAAAGTTAGGGGCGACCAGAACAAAACATGGCAGAAATCCATGAAGTCACTGACAAGTGGACCGAGTCATGTTGGTAGATGTAGGCTACTTGGTTGGGGGTCAGCGAAACGAAAGTCACCAACGGTAATAAACGTTGAACGACATGGCTTAGAATCGTTAGCAATGGTGCAAGTGCATCCATTCGTTGTGTTCTCTCAAATCCTAATCTTCTGGATTCATTAGCACCTCTACATTTGTCTTGCTAACATTATCTCACTGAATTATACTTGAATAATATCTTCAAACCCTAGTCTTCCTCATTACCATTAATACCTCTACTATCTCTATCACTATTGGATTTGATTTGACATTTGCCTCTCTGTGCCAATGTGGTATGGCATCCTGAACTTATGTACATACGTACGAAGTTCTACGTTGCAACTGACTGATTGAGCTTTCAGCCACACTTCGGCTACCCACGATCTCCAGTCACACTGAATAGCTAATTGATGTAAGTCCCCCCAAGTGTTTATGAAGTTGAGAAAGCGATAGGAAATCTCAAGCGAGGGCGAGCTGCAGGACCTGATAGACTGATCCCTGAGATATTGAAGAATGGTGGTCCAGTTTTAGCAGCTAGGTTGACTGAGATCTCAGCTAGAATCTGGGAATTGGATGTAATTTCATCCGAGTGGTCTCATTCACTGACTGTCCCGATTTACAAACAAGGACAAAAGTCTTCTTGTGACAATCACAGGGGAATAAGCCTTACGAATATAGTATCTAAAATATTGGCCTCAATAATACTTCGACGCTTAACAAAAACTCGTGAAGAACGGACTAGAGAAAACCAGGCTGGTTTTCGACCTTGACGTGACTGAATAGACCACATTTTCACACTCAGACAGGTCCTGGAACACAGATACACAAATAGGCGTCCTACAATAGTAGTGTTCCTCAACAATTTGGAAGCTATATTAGTAAAACTTATTCCTCTGTGATTATCTGTTATTGGGACATAGATGGAATTAAAGCACGACTACGTTGCTGCGCGCTGATTAGCTAATTTCCTATTCAATCAGCGCCTGATCGAAGCTTGGAGAAGAGGATAGAAAATTCTCGATTTATTTGCTGCATGCTGATTGGTTAAAGCTAATCCGGCTGACCACGTGAATTTTCTTCCAGAAGCTTTCTCATGTAAAAGGCTATAAATACACTAACGTTGTATTTATTCATTGCCTTCTTCCCTTGGCCTTCGCCAACACCTCTGGCTTCTTATTCCTTCCTATTTTGGAATATAATCTTTCCTGTTCAACCGTGTTTTGATCTTTGTGAACTTGTCCAGTGTTTTTGTCTCAGAGAATACGAAGCAATAGGATTTAGCCGGGAATTACCTAAACAACCGTTACAACAGTGGCGACGGAGAAAAAGGAAAAAAAATTCAAGATGCCTATTTCAGATGATCAGCTTAACCGAATACTACAACAACAGCTAGCTTAATTAGATGCACATATGCGGTTGTTGGAGACCCTAACTCAACAGCTCAACACCCAGTGTTCGAATCTCAGCTAGAATCTGGGAATTGGATGTAATTTCATGCGAGTGGTCTCATTCACTGACTGTCCCGATTTACAAAAAAGGACAAAAGTCTTCTTGTGACAGTCACAGGGGAATAAGCCTTACGAATATAGTATCTAAAATATTGGCCTCAATAATACTTAGACGCTCAACAAAAAC